CAGTCAGTCAGTCAGACAGTCAGTCAGACAGTTCTGTCCTCACCAGCTCTTTGAACTTGAACAGCCCGTGTCCCGGCACCGGACTGGCTTCATTCCCGTCCGCCGCCGGGGAGTTGTCCGGTGTCTCCTTGGTCTTTCCGCTGCAAAGCCCACGAGCGCTGGGGTACAGCAGAGACCGGAAACCGGCCACCGACCTCTCGTGACCTCCCCAGTACACGGGGGAGACGGCTCCCTGCGCGTGCCAGGGTGTTGTCTTCACCTGCTGGAGGATACCACTCCAGCACGCGACACGGCTCTCCGTCCCCCTCGGTGGCCACGAGCCGCTCACCGGAGACTGTCTCAGCCTCGCGCACTCGTTGACAGGTGTGAGTGCGTGCCGCCATGACACAGGCTCGAGCCGACACATAGCCGCACCTCGCGCCAGACAGCGGACATTTGCAGCGTTTCGACACAACGGAGCAGAAACCCTCCGAAAACACATCATCATGTTCACGAGCCCCCGTTACCAGGGTTAGGGTCTCGTGCTGTCCGTGCCCGTTGTCATGGTGAAGTTTCAGATTCTCCGACACACACACAGCTCAAGCCAGCAGGCTGCCATGTTGCCGTAAACTGATACAGCACATAACGTCGTAAAACCGCCGACGACATTGGTTTACAGGACTTTTATTTTGAAAATAGGTAATCGTGTGTCTTTTGTGGAGTCTTTAAATAGCTTGGATATGAAGAAACATAATAATAGCATTTTTAAAATCACTGTCAACCATTTAACTGTGTACAAACAACAACGTGCTGAAATACATAGGGGAATAAAATGATTTATTAACTGTTTAATGTTAACTAATAAAGTGCATACAGTACAAAAAGAAACAACGTAGACCATACAGATCAATGCAAAGCATTAAGACGAAATGCTGCACACTTGCTGGATTTTAGATCAACATACTATAGCCCAACCAACACTGGATTTCAGATGCAGATTATAAAGTCAATACTTGAGAAAATTATAAAAATATATTGCCAGCTTAATACAACATCAGAACGGATCTTCAATACAGTCAGTATGGGTAAGGGAGGTAACATCAGCACTGTACCAAAGGTTTAATCCAATCCAAACCTTCTGCTTTAGTTGTGGATTGAAAATGTTTAAATGAGCTGCAATTTTGGATACTTATAACACGTGGATTTAGTGTATAATTGTTCAATATTTTAGTTGGATGAGTGACAACCCCAGTGGATGAATGTTCATTGCGTCAACAGCATGGTGCCACTGCTATTGCTGAGTGCTGTGCAAATTCTGAAAAGTTTTGATATCTTTATTAAGATATTAGTATCTGCGACACATCATACCAATGAAGAGGTGGGGTATTAAATCACATTTGCTTGAAGTCTTGAATCATGTCTGAAGTCCCACTTAACTGATGCAAGTACAGCCAAATAACAAGTATAGTCAATATTACCATGTTCAGTTTGAAGCTTTTTCTGTGTAAATAAATGCAGACTATTTCAGCAGAGATGTGTGTGTACTAGAGTCAGCTGAGCTTAGTTCCTACTCTTTAGCAGATTTGTGCACACTTAGGAAACTGTAGATGCTGTAAGGCCGCAGTGAGATGCTCTCTGTGAGATTTTCGTAGTTAGGTGATCTGTCCTGTCTTTGTCAGTTGTTCTTACAGTCTCTTCAAAGGGTTCAACAGTAGTGGTTGGTGGTTTTGTGAAAGCGGTCAGGACAGATGGTTTCTTTTCAATACAGAGAGACCCTGTTCAATTATCCCACACACTGACCTAGTAGTGAGGCAGAAAGGAGCAGGGGTATACTCAGCAGTTGTCAGTGATCAGACAGTCTGCAGCTGGTACAGCTTGGGTCCTTTCTTCAACAGGAAACCCTGTTCATTCAAGGAACTCACCAGCTGTTCAAAATCCACCACCTGAAAGGAATCAACCAATGAATCAATAAATTGTTCAGCATGCATAGAGTGTTTTTAGAGTAGCATCAGGTTTTACTGCATGGTCTAAATTACTGAGAACGTTTGTGCTCAGACATTTTAACCTACAGAAATCTCACCTTTCAATTATGCAGTTCATGTAATTTCTTCTCTTTTTCTAATTTCTCTAATTGGTTTGTTCTGTGATTCCTACTGCTTTAAGTTTTTGAGTAGTAGACACCCAAATACTTTTTTTTTTAGGTGGAGTTGACATGCAACCTTGAATAATTTGGTGTGTTAACTTTAGCAGTATTTCCATTTCAGCACAATATTTGAATTTCAGGGACACACAGGAGGTGTGGTAAATCTGACTTGGAATGACAAAATTCCGAGTTAGGTACAGCCCTTCACTGGACCTTTAAGTCTGACCTACTGTTTACGGTTTTTATCTATCTATGTGTATTTCACATGCATCTAAATGTTTTCACCTTGATGTTTAGTCTGTCAGCCATAGATCGAAGCATTTGTAGGTCAAACTGATTCTGAGTGGTCCTCTGGGCATGCAAGTGCAGTGCGTTGATTAGTCGTTTTCCAGCACTGCGCTGACTCATTCCTGACCCAAGCTGAGAGCGCTCAAAGTCCAGATTGCCCAGACCATCTGAGTATGTGTCAGCCAGACTGTACAACAAAATCACACATACAAACACAGAGAGGGAGAGAGAGAGAGGACAGTACATTCAACCCCAGGACAGAACAACTAAGATATAATCTTGATTTTATGATATCATCTCAGATCAGTTCTGTAACTATTTTGTCAGAGTATATTGCTATGCACACTAGTATTAAAAAAACGACTATATATATTATGCTAAACCGAATGGACAAATTTATCTGTTACAGTTGAGAGCAGCAGTCGCATCTGCAAATCCAAGTTTCCTCTCCCTAAATCTCTGAAATGTACTATTTGACGTGACACATACACACCAGAGCTAAAACAATAAATGGATTAGTTGAAATAAGATTGGCTGCTTTTCTTTAAAAATGTGATGGTTAACTGAATATCTTTAGGTTTTGGAGTGTTGGTCAGAAAAACAAGCTATCTGAAGAGATCACCTTGGGCTTTAGGACATTGTGATGGGCATTTTATGGGTTATAGACCAAACAATTAAAAGATTAATTAATTAATTAAGATAAAATAATAGTCAGATTAAAACAACAATAAAAAATTATTTACGCAGCTTTAATACACACAAAGACTCCTGTAGGGTCACCTGTGTTTCATGATCTCCACCACATCCTCAGCATCACTCTTGGTAGCAGTCTCTCTGAGCTCCAATCTGGCTCTTGCCTGCAAAAAACACACAGTCAACCACATACGTACTGGGACACTAGATGGAAAATTGCTCCTTTTGTTGGACACATGAAAACTATATTTGGCAGTAGCCTTAAAAAACATGACGTTATCAAGTGTCTTAATCACATGCTGCTGATGGCTGAACTGAATACACCAAACATAAAGAAACACCTACCTCAGTTAGTCTAATTAAAGACTCAAGTTGTCGTGTGGTGATCGGTGTGGAATCAGCAGTGTGTGCCTGAGATCTCAGTGACAGGTAAAAGTCCTGAATTGTCTGTGCTGCTTCAGGAGAGATCGAGGGCTGGACATACTGTCGAGCGTAGCTGATATACTTCCTCAACAAACATGCTGGAATGGGGTCTACAGTTTCGCCTGCTGGGACCTTGACACAGATACACACATACTCCATAAATCCAATAAATTATTTTTGACAGACATTACTGTCTTTCTTATGGAGTACTGTCCATTTTTTTTTACCTGCAAACGTTCAGACAGCGGCATGTCTGAGTGCTGTAGTAGGATGGAGGTCTCTGACTCACTGTTAGTCCTGGTGACTATGGCGCTGCTGGTTTTGCCTCTTCCTGCCCTGTTTGCCATAACGTGTTCTGACAGGCGGCGGTCATGTGACTCATCTGGGATGTCCAGAAGGAGGAAGATGACGTCGAATCGAGAAAGAAGAGGTGAGCCCATTCTTAAAACAAGAATGCACAACTGTAAATATAAGGCAATAACTTGCATATTTACACAGATATACTATAATATCTTCCAGCAGTCGCTAAAAAAAACACAATTACTGTACTGATTGTCTTACTTCAGATTTTCAGAGACGGTCTTGCTTCTGTTGTAATGACCACCAACAGGGTTCGCAGCAGCTAGAACTGACGTTCTGGCAGGAAGAGAGGAAACTATTCCAGCCTTAGCCAGACTCACAGACTGCTGCTCCATGGCTTCTAGCAGAGCCTGCTGTTGGTTACCCAACTTATCAAACTCATCAATGCAGCAAAGGCCTGAAGAGAACAGAGAAAGACAATGAGGTGGAGAAACAAATAAATGAGAAACCAGCAGGATTGAGAGATGGCGTGGGTGGGTATTAGGGATGAACAATATTGGATTTTTGCTAATATCTGATATTTGCAGCTCATTTTGGTCGATTGCCACTGCCAATATTTGCAGTAATTTTTTCAATCCAATTGCAGAGAATATTACCGCGATGGACCACTTGCAGAAGCAGACATATAATAATGTACACATTCACATTGATCCTTCTTTAACAGGCTTGGATGATGCTTTTCCTGAGACAATCCTCACAACAACCAGGGCAAATCTGACCTACTACACAAATTGCAAAACACTTTAAATTAATTGAACCTCTTCCCACAGCGAAAGAAAGAGCATTCTACAACAGTACAGCAATTAAAGCTAACTAAAATAACATCGATATACATAGTGTACTCGTTTTCACACTGTTGAATAAATGATCCTAAATTAGAAGGCTACATATGCTTTACAGACCGTTGTTTAAAATCAATTATATATTAACTGAATAAATTCATTCAAAAATGAAGTAATCCAGCTTGCAACTCAGGTAAGGCCACACTTGAAAACTACTTGTGACAGGGCTCAACACAGTTCACAAATCCAACCATCTTCACCAAATGAAAAACAGCTAGGTGTCCAGAGCAATACAGTCCATGAGTTTCTGAAGCTTTGCTTAGGGACTGACACTGTGCAGAAAGCACAGGTCTCCAATTCTGATCATTCCTTAGCTTTTACTTCAAGGGTTTTTTAAATTTCTAGGTGAGTTGAGAAGTTTATCTGACACCTTGGGCCTTTTCAAAACCTGGTGGGAAAGAGGCAGTGCTGCATAGGGTGAGAGTGGAGATGGAGTATTTTTTCAGAAGAGGCAGAATATTAAAGCAGGTAGTTTCCATCAGCTGTTAAAAGGAAATTTCTAGTTTTTTTTTCTCTCGAAACAAACAAATACTTACGACTGATGTCTTTTGGCCACCGTAATGAATCAATATACATTATGCAAGATGGGCACAAATACACTTTTTAAACCATGGTTTTCACTCTCTTTCCTACCTTGGTCAGCCAGCACCAAGGCTCCGGCCTCTAGAGCATAATCCCCTGTTCCTGCATCTCGGGATAAACTCACAGTCAGTCCTAAAGGGAAAAAAAAAGGAAAAATACATTAAATATTAAATTCCCAACTTTATTATGTTGTAACAAGTCTGAGTACATGTAACATAATTTAGGGAGAGTAGTACTTTAACACAATTTACCTGCAGTGCTTGTGCTGTTGCCACATACATAGATTCCTCTGGGAGCCACATTACACACTGCCTACACACAGAAGTTATTACAACTTCAGCTTCAGAGTAATACAATTACATTACTGTGCTCTATTCAAAATGCTTAGTGTGTTTTCTGTGTTACCTGTAACATCTGACTCTTTCCCAGTCCAGGGTCTCCCACCATCAGGATGTGTGGGTCTCCTCTAACTGGGACGCTGTTCTTGCCTGTGTGTTTCTGTCTGCCTCCGAACAACACCAAGGCTAGAGCAGCCTTCACCACCTAGGGACACACCACAATACAGGATGTTGGACTGAACTTTTATGATTTCTGACAAATCATCATGACAGAAAATGCCCAAATTAGAAGTGATGAAAATGTTGTTGGTGTTCTTAACCTATTGAAAAGCGCAGAGCATCGCACAACTCACCAGGTGGCCATAGATGACAGGACACAGAGAGCTGAAAGAGGTGGTTTGGGTTATATTTAAACTACAAGTCCATATGGAAGAAAACTGAGTAACTTTTTAAAACCGTGAACATGTTATAGTGTAGGTGATAAGTATCTTACTGTACTATAAGTCTCAGCAGGTTAGGCTGTGACTGGATCTCCTGGATGGCATACAGCTCCTTCAGGCTGAACTCCTCCCCTCCAGAGCGATCTTCAAGTGACCCTCTTGACCCCTGACCTGACTTTGACTGCTGACCTACACATTAAGAGTTACATATATGCATATATATGTGTGTGTATGTATACACGCTCCACATGATTCAAGTCCAAACACACACATGCTTCAGTACCTTTAGTATTACTGACTGAAGTGGCTTCAAGGTAGAGGAGGAACATACACTGATCCTTGTGGCCCCGGGAAGTACCTGCATACAAACAATAAGCATGAGTTTTTCACAACCAAGGCAGAAGAGCACTTTTTTTTTTTCCTACCCAGAATTTCCATAGTTAAATAGAGGTTTATAGTTTATACAGTATACATATATACAAATATATAGTGAATAGATTTTTAAATATCATTAACTAGCTTAATCCAAACGATCTCCCACCCTGGTTAGAATGTGTGTGTCTCAGTATGTTTGTACCATCGTTGGTAACTCTAACTATCCCTGTCACAGTAACTGTGTCTCCGGGGACGCAGCTGTCACAGAGGTCAGAGGTCAGGTGACATTCCACGGTGCGCGGGATCCGTCCAGTCTCCCTCTGCTCCCCGCCCATCAACTCCTGCACCCTGAAGTAGCATTAAAAAGAAATTTTAAATGAAGTGTGTAAAACTGCTGACCCAGGATTGGAGATTGCACATTAGAATACGTTGGGAGAAAAGCTGCAACTTTCTCCAAATATTACACTTTTGAGTTGAGATGACCTTTTACACTTTCAAGGAGACACAACTAATATAAACGTATTTCCTCTGTCAAGGATTTTAATCCGCCAGGTCTCGTCACAGTTTCATAGACGTAGGCACATGATATGCTTACTTGATGATCTGCCAGTCTACAGTGTGAGTAAGAGGAGAACTCCGGATGGGGGTGAAGGAATGACTGCGACAGTCAGGCTGGATACACTATGTGATGAAAGACACACATATATGCAAACATTAAAACTAAAAGTTAATCTAAGTAATGATGTCACAGATGGCTATGTGTGTATGCGGGAAAAAAAAGGTGTATGTTTACAGTTTTACTTGTGTAAACCAAGTTGTTGAAACATTACAGTAGAAAAACAGAGAGCTGGAGCAGTGTGTGAGCATACCTTGGTGGGAGTAGCGTATTTCCCATGATGCAGTGGCAGAGACAGTGTGCGCGAGCAGACCAGGCACCTGAAGGCCATCCTGGTGCACAGAGGTCTGATATTGCTTACTCTGACCACTGTTCCCCTCACACACACCAGCCGCCCAAACACACTGGCACGCAACGTCCGCAGTGGAGTCAACGGTTCGTAGTTGTACAGCCTGTGGATGATTTACGCAAATAAAGTCATCTGTATTCATGATCAGCCGGTGTACAGGTGTCAAGCAAACAACTTCACTGTGTGCATTACCTTGCACTAATGTGAGGGATGTTGATGATTGGTGTAGTGACAGGAAGTTCTTCTCCTTCCAGCTCAGCAGCCTGTTTCTCTAAATCTATAGTTAACACCTGAAAGACACAAACAAACACTCTATCAGTCTGCTATTTGAGCAAGCAGAAAACAGCAGAGACGACAACCTCTCAGTGTTAGCGAGCACTGTTGATGCCACCAGGGAAGAGAAAATGATCCACTCAATAGTAACACAATGCGAATACTCAAATATGGACATTTCTAAAAATGCATATCCCTTATATATACACATTCTGGCAGACTTCAACTTGCAGATGACAACATATGTGTGTAGGAGTGACTGTGTATGTGTGTACCTGGTGAATAGCCACTCCCAGACAGTTGAGTATCACCTCTGGCTGCTCCTTCAGCTGTGTGGTCAGATCAGGAAGGGCTTGTCGCACAGTTTTGTCTCCAGTCAGGTCTGCATAATCCACCAGAACACTGCCCTGGCGCTCAATCTCATCCTGCGCACCAACAAAACAACAACTGTCATTTGAACAAACAAATCAGGACACAGAGTGGAAAAATTTCCATTGAAAGAAAGAAAAAAAAATGTCATAGATAGACTATATTGAGGGATAATAACCCTAATGGTCTGTCTATTAAACAGAAAGATACACAAGCAGACAGACCGACCTTGTCATACAGGTGGATCTTGGAAGTAAAATATTTCTCAAACACTTTGATCTTCTCCACACTCGGTGAGCTCTCTATGAAGCCTGCACATAATAACACATATTAAGACATTACAGACAGAAAGAGACAAACCACCGTGACTATTACATGTAACCCACGTCGACAGTACTATAAACACACACGCGTACCTTCTGTGAAGTAGAGTGTCCATCCTTTGTACGGACACAACACATCCAGAGTAGCCTGAGAAAGGACTGAGGAGGCAGACAGGCAGTGAGGATCGCAAATGATGGCACCTATCTTTTGCAGCTTTTCATGTGCAGTTCAATTCCCATTAGATAAACAGTGGTAAGGACATTAGATGCTAAGATTGGTCTTCAATTTGTGTCAAATTAAAAGCCTCTCTCCCTCATTCTCCTATTACGCAGCAAACAAAAGCACCGTGTTTAACCAGCTGTCAGCAGATTTATTCATATAGAAACACATTATTTCTTCACACTTGATTACTGGATATGTAAAATGAAAGAACCAAATGGAGCTCACCTCTCTGATGGTTTCCTGATCCTCCTCCCCCAACAACACCACCACCTCTCCACCCTCCTCCTCCTCCTGCTGCTCCCCCTGAGCCTCTTCCTCCTCCTCCCCCTGCTGATCCTCCTCTCCATGGTCTACTCCTCCATCCTCCTCCTCCTCCTCTCCATCCACCACTGCCACCTCCTCTCCATCCACTACTACTACCCCCTCCTCTTCCTCTCCATCCACCGCTACTACCCCCTCCTCTTCCTCTCCATCCACTACTACCCCCTCCTCTTCCTCTCCATCCACTACTACCCCCTCCTCCTCCTCCTCCTCCTCTTCCACCCCTCCATGAGCCTCTGCTGGATTCCTCTCCACTCATTTCTTTCCTAAGACAAAACAAGAAGAAATAAGAATTAGTGACAGTGAGGTAGTTGTTTTAGACAACCATTAATCAGCTACATGTATTTCCCCTGGCAGGTACACCAGACACACGTGGGTAGCTGACGTTAACTTTTATCATTCAGCCGTTACAGTTCACTAAGTTAACTAAAGTTACTTAACTTAGTTAACCTAATTAGTTTATTACTAGTAACATTACTTAGTTACCAGCGGAAAAGGAACAAACAACCACGGACAAGAAACAATGTTAGTTGTTATAACGTTACTGAAACACAATTCTTCATCATGTAACGCTACTGAATTAGACAATGTTAGAGCTTATTGTAAGGTGTTTTAAATTATACTAACGTTAAACTTTAGTCGGCTTTAACGTCTCCGTTTGTTTTGACGTCTGTTAACGGTTTTACTGTGTGTCGGTTGCTACGACCCTGTCGGCATTAAACTACATTAATCCAAACATTACGAAGCTGTGAATGTTTACACTGAAGTTCCCTCCACCGTGAGGCTTCTTCTTCTATGATTTACAACACTGTAGGTGTCTCTCCTCTCAGGTGGTTGTGCTGCCCCCACAGGACACCAAAGATACTACAGATAATAACATTTACGGTTTGCCCTTATGGAAACGGTTTTAGCGGTTAACTTATGGACCAGCAGTGGTGTTATTTGTGTATAATCACCTGAAAATAAGAATGGCTGTTCTTGTTACCTCAGAATAAGTCCTTATTATTCCACAGAGGCTTCCATGTTGTACAACAGGTGTTGTTTCTACAGTACATACAGTACAAATTAAGTGATTTTCACGTGTATGAATCAGATTAAATGCTTTTTTAAAATGTAAGATATAGATTCACATATAATATAATGAGTGACTTAAGGTCTACAATTTGTATTAGAATTAAACACTAAAGACGTGATATCATACCTAGTGTAACACCCATTGTCAGTTAACATCTGTATCTCATAATCAAAAACATTAAAAATGACCTTTCTGGAAAGTAATTGGACTCAAAGTGGAGATAGTCTATTGGAATAATAGACTATCATCCTGTCAGGTAAACTGGCTTTGAGAAGGATGACATGAGTCTTCGAAAGCATTAATGATATATTAACCCAACAATAAAGCATACATAAAGATATTTAATAACTATGACCTTCACTGAAAACAGAAATGTGAACACAGTCATCTGCTGCCATCTTCTGGAAAATGTGTGCCATTACAGATATTTAGCTATTTGTTCTTCACAAATTAACACATGCAAATTCAGATGCTGTACATTGTTGTCCATGTCTGTCGTTGTCTACTGCGTGCTTACGCTCTATCTTCCCTCCTTCCTCACCCTCTTTCTCTATCTTTTACTATTCTATACTTGTGAGGACCCTGACTGATATAAATGGACTCAAGATTAACTTTACTGTTATTACATAAAGTAAGTGGCCGGGTAAACAAAATGGAGTTTAGCATCTAACCAGAAAGACACTCTTAAAGTGGAATTGGTCTAAACAAAGATAAATGTATGAGAGCAAGCACACTCACACACCGTCTCAAGGGAGTGGTTTGGGGGGGACAGAAAGACAGAACGAACAAGTAGAAAAATCAATACCTGAACTACTGTGGCCTGGAGTAGTTAGAGGAAATAGCAGAGGGCTGAGAGGGATTGATGCACACACACACACACACACACACACACAGGGAGTAGGTAAGGTCAAAACAGCTCTTGTGAGGGAAACAAAGAAATAAAGATAGAGTGAGAGATATGTCTCTTCATTTTCCCCTATCATTATCTTCATAATGCTGAGAAATGAAATAAGACCTCTACTCTGGTGTGTGTGTGTTCAGTCCCATCTCTTCACACTCAGTTGTTTCAGTGATTCGATCTCTGTGATGACCGGTGTTTTGTGGAGAGAGATGGAAAAACTGAAGGACTAGAGACAATGGCGCTGTGGCACTCAGCAAGGCATTTAAACTCTACTTGATCAATCAACAAAGTCCATGTGGATTCAATGCGATTTAGCAGACAAGAAGGGATCATTTTTCTCTACGGTTTGTTTTTGTGAGTTTGTGACTCCACAGTTTAGTAGGTGGTGAGTCACTGCAGCTGGGTTTGTGACACAAAAACAGGAGTATCAATATGTTTTGAATGAGTGTGTTAGGAAAGGTTTGTATGAAGTCAAACTGAATTATTTTCACAGCAGCAATCTTACGTTTTGGATACTCTGCTTCTTTCCTGAACTATTTGAAGTTTGTTCTCAATGATCTATTCAGTTTCTCACCTGGAGTTTGAGTTTGTCACTGGGGTAACCCACCGAGTAACCATGAATTTGTTTATTCCTTGTCTAATGCCCCCCTCATGATTTATATCATATCAGTTATACAACTTTGTGCAGTTATTTTAAATGTCACACTGGCTCTCTCTCTGGAGGCAAGTGTGTACTCAGTTTAATGCCTCACATGTTTTACATGAACCCAACTAATTAGTTTCTTGGCCTCATAGCAGAACAACCAATGGTTGTGGAAGAAATGGCAAAAAAGTGGAATTCCATCATCTAAATACAAATGTATTCTTTACCTGCCCTACAAAGGCAAACCGTAGTAATCACAATTTTGTTTAAAATTGAGTCATGACTGAATTGTAACTTTTAAAGGATTGTTTTCCCTTGTGACAAATTCTAGTCTAGTCAAGTGTAGTCTTGCTATATCTTAGAGAAAACAATTATAGAAAAACTGCAGAATCCAACAAAATCCAAGAACCAACCAAGAACCAAACTGCAGTAAGTGTTAGTGCTTCGGCTGCAGTTACTGTAGCTTCAGTGTCTGTAAATTCTGTATTGTAGCCAATTTTAGGACAATCTAGGGAATCGAAACAAAGGGAATCTTCATGTTCTCCACTGGGAACTCTTACTTACTCTATCTGTGTATTATTAGCTAAACTGATTATAGTAGATGCTAATTAAAATAAAACGTGTCATAAGTGAAACCTCACAAAATTATCTAAGTGAATCAACTTTTACACATAAAACAATAAGAAATACATACAGATTAGATTTAGATTTTCTCAGAAAGAAGACACTCTGTAACTGCCTATATAGGTAGTACCTTGTACTACCTATATATCTGTTTATGGTAATACAAAGACAGAATGCAGTATCTGCATTTTAGGGGTCATAGGTCAAATAATTGGTCATGAAAATTACTTATTACATACATATTTAATAGGCACTGCTGTTCTACCTAAACCACATTTGGCTGGACAGTCAAAAAACCTAGTTTCCTTGTTAGCGCAGTTACTGTACATTTAAATATGGGACAATAACATATATTTATATAATTTGAGTCATAAAGAAAATGTGGAGTACAATCTCCAAGCGACGGGTACAATATGGTTCCCCTCAACTAATGCATTGCACAGTGATCGGTTGTGCCTCCAGCAGACCAGCACAGGTCGATAGGCGCAGGCAGGTGGCCGTCACCTGTTTTCTGCCAAGAGAAATTGAGCTGTCAACCCTTTTTCTTCATTGTTTTTAACATCTTTTTCCACAGCAAACACTGTGTGTGGAAACTTACTGGGAGAAGGGGCTGACGATTGTATAGAAAAGTGGTACAGTAATACGACTGTGGGATGGGTGAAATGGTCAAAGCCAGGAAAGGTCCTTCCATTCATCAAGTGGAAGGTAATCATTCGATGCCTGGATGGAAAAAGTTTTACTTTTACTTAACATTTAATGCAGTTTAGAATGCTTTACGGGAGAAAACTAAAACAAAAACACATAGAATAAAATAAAAATATTAAATAAATAAAATACAGGTAATAAAACCAAGTTAGTAATGATAAAAACAATATTAACATAAAACCACAAAACTGGTATGAAGATAAAAAGGGGTATCAAGTAAACACAGTAATGTTAAAGAAGATAAAATTATTAAAAGCAAAAAATAATATTAATCCTAAAATAGGTCTTGAAAAGAAAAATGTTGGTTTTACAGCCTGAAACTTCACTATTTCAGTTCATCAGTGGTGCTTCCAGCCAGCAGGCGGCAGTTTTGAGCAAAAAAAAT